ATCCTGAGGATAACTGAGGTGACATTTGCCTCCAACATGCCATGTACAAAGTAAATTTAGTTCCACAGAACATAACTAAGGATGGTTATTCTGTGCTCCGCCATTCTTCATAACACTCCCTGTCCTTTCAGCTGAGCAGTTTCTGTCAAGCCTAATGCCACCGTGAAGTTAAATTACACATAGGTAGGTGTGTTTAGTCCCCGTGATAAATCAGCAGTGAGATAGACACACGCTTTGCCATCTGAGGCACAGACACCATAAATTGGCTGTTTCGTATGAAACTGGTCCAGGGTACTTTATAGCAGGGGACTCTGGCAACCACGTTGTTCATCTCAAGTTTTCCAGCTGTAAGGCTTCAGTATAGACCATAATAAATCCCAGTCAGGTTTTACAGTCTTGTTGATTCATTGCTTCAGTCATGCTGCCAAGTTCCACTGCCAAAACTCTTCCAGAGTTTAAAAAAATCCAAACATCTTGAATCAGTATCATTTGCACACAGTTTTTTTTTTGTTTTTATTATTTAATTTGCTCTCTCCCAGATAAACCTCTCATGATCCAGTTTATTGACTGGGTGCTGCGTGGGATATCCCAGGTGATGTTTGTCAACAATCCCCTCAGTGGGCTTATGGTAGTTGCTGGTTTCCTGGTGCAGAACCCGTGGTGGACACTCACAGGCTGTTTAGGAACAGTTGTCTCAACTTTAACAGCACTTATTCTGGGACAGGACAGGTAAGCCCACCCATTTCCCCTTCAGAACCAGACTCTCACTGCAATGCTGATTTACACGTCAAACAAGTGACATGGATGAAAAGCATGTATCTAGCCTTTGCTGGCTACATGTCTGGTCTGGTAGGACCAGACAGATCTTCCCACCAACTGCAACTGATGCAAACAGACACTGGACGTAACTGCAGAAGGGGTAGCTGGGGCTGAGGGGACATGAGACTCAAGTATGTGAAATGAAGGTCGGCGCACAAGCCTTGGCAGGTCATCATCACAGAGTCACAACCGGGTGGGGAGGGAGGGAGGGGGTGATGTAAACAAAGCACCCACAGGGGAGAAGACTTCAAGACGGTGGTTTCTTTCATGCAGATCAGCCATTGCAGCAGGCCTGTATGGCTATAACGGGGTCTTGGTGGGATTGCTCATGGCCGTCTTCTCCGCTAAGGGAGACTACCACTGGTGGCTTCTGCTGCCCGTAGCACTGGTGTCCATGACGTGGTAAGTCGGATGGCTCCTCTGCTTCCTATTCCAGTCGCAGTGACCCCACACTGAGAATGAGCCGTCGCATTTTCAGGCACTATACAGACTACGATGGGAAAGAAACACAACTGGCACATACGTGCTACGAAACCTGTATCATCATTTGCCTCTTTAAACTTGAATGTAATCCCCAAATAAATAAAATACCCACGTAACCACAGATAAATCCAATGGGGAAAAGGAAAATCGATGGCTGATCATGTGTTATTCAATGCCCTAAACGTTAGCCATATTTCTGCAATGCGTCAATTCATTTTTTTCTCAAGAGGAACATTAACTACTCCCTATCACTATCAACCACAAGTGTTTCATCTATTTAAGCCACCATATAAAAATGTCATGAAAATTTACCTCTCCAGGCACAGAAATTGTTGTTCAGTGGTCCCAAGATGCGATGGTTGATGCTAAGGAAAACAAACAACTAATAATACTTTACTCATATGTATTATACCATAATCTGCTAGATATTCAGACAGCAAAAATTTTGGTCTTTCACCCCAAAATGTCTAGTTGTCACACATATCATCTGTCTTCCTGAAGTTCATGTCATGTTATACTCACTTTAACAAGCACAACTTTGATGTCAGCCTTACTTCTGATCCATAAGCTTGAACAAGGACACCCAGCTACCCTCATAGTTCACTCAGACCTGGCACCAGTGTCCTGAGTTCAGTGCACTTCAAGCATTAACAAAAAAAAATTAAACACTGAGACTGAGCTGTGGAATAACTCCATTAAGCCACTGGATCCATTACATCACTGGATCCTCCACACAAGTGGATCTTAGCTCCTTTATGGTAACCAAATTCATTGCATATATTGCATAACACAACAGGAATCTGTACATTGCTAACAGCCCTGAGAAGGGTAGGAAATTTACAGAGTGATCCTAGCATACCTCTGATTTTATCAGAAAGACTGAGGAAATCAAACAGCTTTTTTAAAAAAAAGAGTTAATTTCCTGCAGCTGTTCTTTTCTCTTTGAGTTTTCTTTTTGCCTAGCTGACAAGCTCCTGGTAAGACCATTTTGTTCTTCTTTCAGCCCCGTTTTCACCAGCGCTTTAGGCTCAGTCTTCTGTAAGTGGGATCTGCCTGTTTTCACCTTGCCTTTCAACTTGGCCTTGACCCTCTATCTGGCTGCATCAGGATCCCATAACCTCTTCTTCCCTACAACTGACATTCAGCCTGCAACAGCAACACCAAACATCACCTGGACGGATGCTGAAATGCCAATGGTAGGACACCCTAAAGATAACAGTCTTCTCCATTTACAAAGAATCCTGCTATGGAATCGTATTATCCTCCTTTCTGTTACTGCATTATGGCCTGGCAATATAAAATTGCCTTTATAAGACAGTTATTATCCAAAATGCAAAGGTTTACTCTAGGAATTGGCATTTTTGATAGCTTGAAAATAAGCTTTTTCATATCTGGTATCTTTCATTTACAGTTGGATCTAAATTATAATCTTCAAAGAGCCTCTAGAATCTAATTACCTATTACTGTGCATCCATAGATCAACGTCCCATAGATAAGGTTGTACTGAGACTAACTCATAGGTTAATTTTAGTTTTCCATATAGAGAATGCTATGTTTTTTAAATTGCACCTTTCTGATTAAAAGTGAGCAAGCAGATGTTAGAAAGGAAAAATGGTTACAAACTTGGATACAGGCACATGTTCACATCTTTTTAGTTAATGTTGAAGTGGGACCTTTAAAAAAAAAAAAAAATTATCCTGCATAGCGTGGTAAACAACATAGATATTAGAGTAATAGCTTTCCCCTATTGCTCAGTGGACTATTTTGAGGGGTTCCCAGGGAGTGATTAAGAAAAAGAAGTTAATTGACACTAAATAGCAATCCACACAAGTGACATTTCTAAAAGAGTGTTTACCATGGTGCATGATTTTATGGGGACCGTAAATAGACTGTTCCATGCGGAGGAACACAACATTTTGACAAAGTGTCTTAAGCTGTAACCAAGTTGAGCTCTGTCCCATCAACCCAGAAACTCTCCTTCATATTCCTAGTGAATCCCAGCGGAGTTTCAGGTATATAAACACATCAGGAATACAGCCTTACCAGTCTTGTAATTCTGGCCAAGCCATTACTGGCCATTTAATCCTCAGATCTGCCAGCTCAGAGGCAAGTATCCTCTCAAAGTCATTGTCTACCTGAGCATTTCTGTCTCCTAGATTCACTGTTATCCACCACAGCAGCATGTAAAAATGCTCAAGTCAGCAGCATGTGTAAAGATGATGAGCAAACCCTTCCACATCCTTTCACAAAAGACTTTTGCGTTTGATGTTGAAGCAAAAAGCCAGCAGAGGAGCTCATGGCTAGGGAACAAGGCATGACTCATTTTCATCGAAGGGGAAACCCTGTGGAAACACTGCTGTCTCCCAAGATGTGTTCAAACTTTCCACTTACAATCCAGAAAGAGAAACTGCATCCAACTAATGCCAAACATGAACGGTCAAGAAAAATAAGTTGGGGAAAAAAAAAAAAAGTGAAATTACTAAGCCAATAACAAATTGCCTTTTTCTTTTTCTTCTTTTTAAATTCCTGCAGCTCCTGCAATCCATTCCAGTGGGGGTGGGTCAGGTTTATGGCTGTGATAACCCCTGGACCGGGGGAATTTTCCTGATTGCTTTATTTCTCTCTTCTCCACTCATTTGTCTGCATGCGGCAATTGGATCAGCAGTGGGGATGCTGGCAGGTAAGGATTTGACTGTGTCACAGATTTATATAAAAGCATGGAAAAAAACAAAAGAGGAACTGCAATGAGTGGAGCATTTATAGTCATAAATGCTTCTTCCACTGGAGAATGACTGCTTTAAAATATATATATATATACACACTTCTGTTTTAAGAATTCTTTTGATTAACTTCCCTATTCTCTTACCTACTTTATGATGGTGGAAATCTCCAGAAGAAAGAAGAGTATTTTTGGCTGAAATGAATTTTTATCATTAAATACTTCGTTTCTGAATATATCGTGATGGTTTTAGGAGCAGCTTAATAAAAGCCATAGCCATCAGTCTGAATGTGCAGGCCTCAGGGATGCATTTGGAGTTCACATGTACACTCATTCACTCACACATCTTCTGCCGAAATCATATGGCCAAGTTTAGCTCAGCAGCACAAGGAAAATCGTGCCGCGATCGCATTAGATTAAAGTGGCTTTAGTCTTCAGACAGTAGCAACACAACCACAAACAGGAACTCGGTGTACACGTGCAGGCTCGAGCCCTAAAAAGTTGAATTCATGCCATTTCTAGCTGCTTTTATCTCTTTGGCCAAGGGATGACACATCTTTGACTTATTTTGCAGCACTGAGCTTAGCCACACCTTTTAGCAAGATCTACTCCGGCTTGTGGGGCTACAACAGCTCCCTCTCGTGCGTGGCGATTGGAGGCATGTTCTGTGCTTTCACCTGGCAGACACATTTGCTGGCAATCGCCTGTGGTACGTGCCCTATGGATTTTCACTACCGCCGCGTTTCTTTCTGAAGTGAGACAAGATGTGTTTATACTGGAGGTGGGCTGAAGCCAGATGGCCACCTCTACGGAGGCAGATGGACTTAGGTGAGACCGACAAATGATGGAGCCAGATGTTGGAGCCGTTGCTCTAACGTACCCTGACAAAATAAAAGCAGTGCTTTCATTTTCAGCCAAGAGTTGTGCTCCAAATAAGAGATGGGATCGGGGGATGCTGATTAACTGAGGTCTTTCAAATTAGACGCTTAGTTTTGAGACATTGTGTTTATTCAACGTTGCTGGATGCATCACGTTGGATTTTCCAACCATAGATACAAGCTCGAATTCCTTCTTTGGAGAAGGACATGTCTAAACTTTAAGAAAACTGGAGCTCAAGATTAGTCCACACCTGGAGTTAGACAGTAGAGTTTCCCCAGTCTATTGAAATGGACACCAAAGGTATGAGCTAGGCAACCCAGAATGATTGAAGAATTATTTATAAGGCAATTCCACATGCAATTTCAATATCACAGTGAGCCGGGAGTGAAACTATTGCTCATTCAGTGCTCATATAAAAACGATTTAGCTTTGTATCTCATTGACCCACCTTCTGGCCTAGAGGCAGGAGAGATGGGGATGGAAGGGTTATTATCCTATTTAATCTCATCCATCAAAATACATGCTTTCCATGTCACTGCATTTTTCAAAAGCCTCTGTTTCTAGAGTCACACTTATCATCACTCCACTTCTTTTTTCTTTGTTTTGCCCTTTCCATGAGCTCCAGGTTGGAGGTGACACAGTGCAAAAAGCTTTAAGAGGGGGCTGTCCAGGCATGGTCATAAACACTGGTTGAGCTACCCAAGGCAATGTGAGAGACATTTGTCCTTGCTGGTTTCCTCCATGAACTCACCAGCAACTACCTTTCTTGTTCACAGCGCTCTTCAGTGCCTACCTGGGGGCAACACTGACTAACATGTTGTCTGTGGTAAGTAGCATATCAGCTAAGGTCTTGTTTCCAGCAGCAGATTTGAAAGCTGTATGTTTTGCTGACTTGTCTGGCAATACACCAACACTCAGAGAACAATTCAGCCAAAGGTAGGGCTGATCCAGGAGGGGGGACGCTACCTGCCCAAGGGTTTGGTGTGGTTCCCACTGAAACAGGACACTTAAAATCATCACTTACCACTTTTCAGAGCTTGCAAGTGTTTCCAAAGCTCAGCCCTCAACACCTCTGAGACAAATATATGTCTATACTTTATGCCTGAAGTGCTTCAAAAAAGGGTCCTCCACACATGTACAGAAATCTCAAATTTGGTTTAACTACTTTGCCCAAGTGCCAAAAAGCAGTTAGTACAACAGCCCAGGGAAAAGCAGAATGCTTCTGGTATCCACTCCTGTCTCATCTCCATCCAAGACCACTGCAGATGCACAAAGATAAGGCAGCCTTCTCACCAGAGCTGGTAGATGTTGCCAGTTAATGCACAATGTCAAGATCTTCTAAAGAAATCCTGCCTCCCCAAGGAGAGGCTCCATGCAAAACCAAGTCAAGACTTCCTTGAGAAAGCTTGTTCCGAGTTGCCTGGGTCCAGGTTTTGTTCAAGGGCTGGGAGGATCAAATAAAAGACAGACACATAGTAAATAGGTGGTTTGTATTTTTCTTTGCAGTTTGGGCTACCATCAGGAACCTGGTCTTTTTGCTTATCTGCACTGACCTTCCTGTTGATGACCACAAACAACTCTGCCATCTACAAGCTACCGCTCTCCAAAGTCACCTATCCAGAAGCCAACCGAGCTTATTATCTGAAGATGAAGAGACATCAGAGGTCTTGCTGTGAAGTATAAAGACCCAAGAAGAGAGATACTTTGCAGGTTTTAAGGCAGGAGTGCAAGGTTTTTCAAAAAAAAAAAAAGCTTGATTTGTGTGCTACAACGTCAAAAGACCAAAGCAAAATCTCCACCTTCTGAGTGGAGAGACTTTTTCCACCATGATTGTTTGTTCTATACTAATTAGATACGACTGTGCTGTGCTGGAAGGACCTTTCCCAAGACCAAGCTGTAATGATTTAGAAGCACACATGCCTGAAAAGACACTTGTATTTTAAGCAGTGGGGAAATCACTTAGAAATAGGGGGGGGGGGAAAAAAATCCGGTTGTGAAATTCAAATCACAGCAATCGGATGTAAAGCAATAAAGAAAGGAGCATCTCTCAGCATCTGATGGAACTCCAAATTAATGGCTAAAACTGGCTTACAACAGCAATAGGATATGTCTTAGCGAGCTTCATAGTAGCAGGGAAATGGAATAAAGAGTACCCCTTGCTAAGTAGAAAACAGGTGGTGAAGAATTCTGCCTGGAGGATCTCTCAAGCCCGGTGGAGAGAGATGTGCCCTAGCAATCATCACACCTGAGATGGACACAGATGAATTGCAGGCAACATGGCTAAAACTTGCAAGACTTGTGGTAAAAATCAGAATAATGGCAGGGAGAGGTGCCTATGAACATCCAAAAACTCAGGCTTTAGTTTGTACTAGGCTCTAAAATCTCATGAAAAATATGTTTCAGACCTACCCAGTTGCAGAGAAAAGTCTGTAAACCCAACACCAAGAAAGCAAATGCCAGTGAAAATAATATTATCCTACCAAAAAAAAAAAAAAGTCAGAAGTTTCATGATTTTATGCTAATCTCATTATTTTTCTCTAATACTCAAACTTGGTCATGGGTTAGCGAAGGAGAGGATAGCAGCAAAGCAACTGCTGTCCCTTTCCTACGCAATAGAACAGCTCTGTTCAGTCTTTACACAAGCAGAACTAATTTGACCTGATCTTCTTGACCTCTCTCCCCGCACCGTCCCCCTCAGCCCACAAACATCAAGCAGCAAAACACTGCACTGTCCCAGTCTGCTGCTGGCGTTGCTGCTCTGCCATTTCCCTCCACCCCATGATGGGAAGGGGATGGCTGGGGGACTGAGGGACATAGCAGAGCTCTGCAGCAGACCAGCCTTGTACCACCTCTGACCAGGCTCCTGGGGGTCTGCAGGTGGGGAAGGAGGAAGCTGACCTTGCACCCAACAGGCTGGTCACCTCAAGGGGTGCTAACTCAGCCACCTTTCTGCCTGGTTCATCGAGATACTTCATTTCATGACAAAGCTGACTTCTTCACCACAAATACTCCATGTACTCAGGTCCTTCAGTTGGCACAGTAAAGTCATAGAACGGTTTGGGTTGGAAGGGACCTTTAAACGTCATTAGGTCTAACTCTCCTGCCATGAGCAAGGACAACTTCAATTAGATCAGGTTGTTGCTCCTGGGAAAGTAGATCAAAACCTGTTTCTCTTGTGGCAGAGAAAATAAAAAGTAGCCCGTGAACAGTGCTACTGCTGATTTTTTATGCTGGGAAAAAAAAATAAAACAACAAACCAACATGTCTTTTCACCAAAACCAAAAAGATCTGAGTGAAAAATATTTGGGATGAACTGCTAGCAGTATTTTCTGGTGAAGTGTTAGGTTTTCAGATGTCTGACAGTATTTCCATATGACTGATACTCCAGAGATCACTTGTAAAAACGTATCATTTGCTGTGTTTTACTTGATAAATACCTGCATAATACTGTGTGGATTTGATTTTTAAAACAAATGACAAACTCAAAGAGGTATAAGTTTTCTTCTATTTATCATCACTAAGTTCTTCCAAAAATAGGTTATCTCTTAAATAAGTAGTCTAGAAGATGCTGGAAAATAAAATTATGAAATCAGTGTATGGGGGATATTTAGGAAACTTCTGATTTCTGCTCTTTGTACTTTCATAATTTTGCTGCATCAATAACTTTTTAAACATATAACGCAAAGTCTGTCTCTGACAGCACAGTGTTGTGACTGCAGAGCCACAGTCAGGGCTGGAAACCTCCTTGAGACCAGATGAGGACTCGTTCCTAGAGGAGATGCTGGTTGGACCCCCATACTGGGCGTAGACAAGGTCACGTTCTGTCCAGAGGATGCACCTCTCCATTTGTCAAACTGTGATGGAAAAGTGAACATTTTTGGTGTCTGAACTGACAAACAAAGGCCAGCTTTCACTCTTCTGTCAAAATCTGCACTCGGGTAAGAGTACACACTTTATGACCAGTGTAAATCAGCAGATTTCCTCTGACTGGTGCTATTTCAGCTTGCTGTTGCTGAGCAACAGGGACATTTTGGCAGTACCATAAAGAAACCATATGCACAGAAGAGAAAAACAACAAAGATGAAGGCTACGTCTCAGCCATTAGAAAGATTTTGCACATCATTCAGAATTAATTCTTCATTTTATGCTATCCAGAGAGTTCATTCTTCCCATCATCCCATGCAAAATAACATTTATTTGGTAATTTGACATATATATCAGTCAGAATATGCATATCATGCTTTTTCCCATTATTGTTCATGACAGTCTTTGCTAACAGAACTAATTTATCTTATTATTAAAACTGTTCTTTTTTGTTCCTGTACATCAAATAAATACTATTCTAGTCACAATTTGTGTTCCAGCAATCTTCTTGCATTCTTGTTTCCAACACACAGATGACATCGGACTCATAAGAAACATTCATGCTGAGCAGGAGTTTTGGGGCTCTCCTGGACTAAATTCCCTCCCAGTGCCAGAATAACATAGCAAAAAAAGATGTCACTGCATTTAACATTTCTAAAAATAAATAAATAAATGATAATTGAAAAACCCTTCAAGACCAAACCACTTGAGAACATCTGCTTGGAAGCAGATTTTATCTAAAAGTCTAACTCAACTGCCTCACTGCTGTTTCCTAAGCCACTCTCATTGCTTCTGTCTGATGTGCATGATTCTCTCCAAAACTCCCAGTTCCACATCAAGCAGTTGCCCCAGTCTCCACCATTTCACACTGGCGTGTCTCTGGCCCCCCAGTATCTTCTGCTGTGGCTGAGCTGCCCAGCAGCCCTGGCCGCAGCCATGCACCTCGCGGTCCTGCATGGGGTTTTCTATTCAAGGTAAAGGGAGGGAAAGCATGAGCAACAATTTAGGACAAGAAATTGTGACATGCTGAGCAAGGACCGGCAGATTTTTGCCAGCAGAGCTTGGTCGTCTTCTTTCCCAAAGCAGAGCTGCTTCTTCACAGAGCCCAAGACGTGCTGCAACACCAGCAGCGGTACCAAGACGCGGGCTACAACTCACATGTCCCCTTTCCCCAGCAAACCAGTATCTGGGCAAGTGCAAAAGAGGCCAATATTTAGCCATGCAGCAAAGACACTACGCCCTTAGTGATGTTGAACTGGGATGAGGAAACATCCAGCCTCAGTTACCTGAAGACCAGACCCAAGAGTTGGCTGTACAAGCAGGACCAAAAGCAGGAGGCAGCAGGCTAGGTGCTCAGATCTGGGACGTGCAACAATACAATCTTCTCCTTTATCTGTTCCTCCAGGAATGTTGCAAGTTTTGTTTGGTTTTACCACGTTGTACATGAAATATGAACAGTATAAAAAATGCTCATGCTGGTAATTATCTAATCTTGTGAATCTTGACAATTAGCAATAAAAGGTAGAATTGATACAGAATTTGGCCATAGCTAGGAATAATTCACCTGCTAAGAAAGAACTGGCCAGGAGGAAGCAGCGCTGTGCATTCAAAAGAAATATTTGATTATTTCCCCCTCCCTCAGAGTATAAACACGCAAAGGCAACTACAGCAAGTGAATTGTTAGACACAAATGAACATCTTTCTGATGTTTTCTCTTTGCCTTGCCACGAAAATATGCCTTAAGGTGGTAAAGCCTTTTCTGTTACCAGGAGTTCAGTTTAGTTGAGATGTTGAATAAGATAGGGAAGAGACTTGGAGAGGGACTTTTGACCAGGGCATGTAGTAATAGGACCATGAGTAGTGGCTTTAAACTGAAAGAGGGGAGATTTCGACTAGATATAAGGAAGAAATTCTTCGCTGTGAGGGTGGTGAGGCACTGGAACAGGTTGTCCAGAGGAGCTGCCCCATCCCTGGAAGTGTTCAAGGCCAGGTTGGATGAGGCTTTGAGCAACCTGGTGTAGTGGAGGGTGTCCCTGCCCATGGAAGGGGGGTTGGAACTACATGATCTTTGAAGTCCCTTCCAACCCAAACCAGTCTATGATTCTATGAAACAGTATAACTTTCAAAGCAAAAACAACCCAACAACTTCTGCCTCTCACTCTGCTTATTCTCAAAGGCACAGATAGACCAAGATAATTGGCAATTAGTTTCCCAAACATACAAACTGAAAGTGTTTAAGCAGGAGTTGTAAGCCTTAATGTTTCGTAGAACTGGGCCAGAAGATTTGGGCTTAGGTCGCCACAGGCTGCGTCCATACTGGTAAACTAGAAGGATCAGGTGCTGGCGCACAGACGCCCACTGAGCATAAATGTCCTGGCAGGGTCCCAGCCTTTGTCAACCAGCATCCCCCAGACAGCGCCCGGACACAGCTCAGCAGGCGGCGTGGGCCTCTCTGGGCTCCTCACTGCTTCCTACACCAGCCACTATTTAAAGATGTTTCACTTGCACAGGGGCTCTGAAGGTTAAATCACCTACCTTGAGATGGAGCCCTCCTGACTTGTTACCACATTTCAATGGAAAGTAAATCCACTTTTCTTTGTAGCATGCCTGTTGTTTCCATCAGCAATAGCCCTTTCATGTCTAGCTCTTTGCAAGTGCAGCCCCCCGATCCTGCACAGGCTGGGGTTCAGCTCCTGCTGCCCACCCTGCCTCCATCATCGGGCCAGAGATGTCCATGGCACAGACGAAGGGGAGACCAAAGGAGACAGTGGCATTGAAGCCCTGCCCTTTGCCTGACACAGAAGTGCTCACCTGGGATAGAAAGAGGAACAGAAACAAAGAGGGAGAGGGAACACAAATAAC